ATTATCGAGAACTATTTCAATCCAGTTTTTAATCTTAGCCAATCGAACTCTCTCTTAAAAATCTCTGGTTTTCGGACAACTGAGGAATTGGAGGAAATTACTGATTTATTTACAACTGTTTTTTTTTGTTAAATATGTTAACTGAAATTTATCATTCGCTTTTCAAAACAAAACGTTACCTTTGGTCGCTAATGTTGAAATACTGTAAATCGGTGTATCCGTTTTATAAATGGATAAAGGTAAATTAAGAAAAACAAGATACAAGAGCTAACGAAGTGTTAATGCGGAAGAAAAAAATCCTGAAGTTTTTTTTTTTTTTTTCTTTTCTTTTTTTTTTTTTTTTTTTTTTTTTTAGACCCGTGGTCTTTTTGTGTAAGTAAAGTTGGCTCTTGGAAGGAGGGGCGAATCTCCTTCAGGGAAGACTTGTCCACCACTTATGCCGAACAGCCACACACACACACACATAAAAGAAAGAGAGAAAAAAGAGGAAGAAAATAACTCACGAAGAAGACGGTGTTGAAGATGTAGATGAGGTACTGGAGCAGCTCGAGGTGCTCCTCCATCTTCCCCTTGCCCTTCCCCAGCGCCATTTTGGAACGCTAAGTCCTCCCTCTTCTTCTCCGACGCAGCGACCTATTCACGCCCGACTCCCGCGCTCCCGATCCTCCAGCCGCCGATATCCTACGCGTACCTCCTTCTCGCTCCTTTAAAATAACTCAAGATCCTGAAGGAATTCACGCCAAGAGATCCTACGAGCACGGGACAGTAGCAAGGATGCCTCAGAGCGCCGCAGGGAGACCGCAACTGGCGTGGTATCTGCGCGCCGACTGGCTGGCCTCCGGGTCGTCAGTCACACGGGAGAGATAACATGGGATACATCGGTTTTCATATCTTAGTGAGTCATGTCAGAATCGATGACTTTGAGACAGAGAGAAAAAAAAGGGAAGATGAGAAAGACGTGTAGATAATTGGAAAATATAAACGAAAGAATAGATACAGTGATGGTCTTCTCAAGCCTTCGAGTAACATCAATAAAACTGTCCCAGTGGCTTTATATGTGTATATAAAGGCTATAAATCAATCACATTTTATAATCTGGTATCTGGACTTTTGTTATCTCTTCCGTACTCTCCGATTAGCAGATGGATAAGAGGAGTTTGAAAGCAGGCTCTCGGCTCGGGGGTTAATGAGATTCTTTTGTTTGAATCTCTTTGAGTGATCTTATTCAAGGGATTGGAATCCCTTTGGAGTTCTTTATAAAGAAAGAGAGAGAGAGAGAGAGAGAGAATGAGCGAGAGAGAGAGAGAGAGAGAGAGAGAGAGAGAGAGAGAGAGAGAGAGAGAGAGAGAGAGAGAGAGAGAGAGAGAGAGAGAGAGAGAGAGAGAGGATAGAGGGAGAGAGAGAGTGCCCCAGAGATTCACATAGAAAGTGAAATAGAGCCAGAAATGGACGTAGACGTGCGGACACAGACACACACAGACACACACACACGTACACGAACAGGACATACGTTTCCCTGGTCACTGTGTTGACATTCAGGTGCCGATAAGATAGCCAGCGGAGAACTCAGTCGAGAGCCTCGATGACTCACACTTAAGTAAAAAAAAGTATATATGGCACAGGAATATAACATTCGACCAGGAAAGCAAAAGAAAAACGACAGATGTGTAATCATGTATATATATGCATATATATATATATATATATATATATGTATGTATATATATACATATATATATATACACACACACACACATACATACATACATATATATATATATATATATATATATATATATATATATATATATATATATATATATATTGAGAGAGAGAGAGAGAGAGAGGGAGGCCGTGATGGTCACAGCAATCTGAGTTCGAGAGCCACCGGCTGGCGCGTTGTTCCTCTGGGCAAGGAACTTCACGCCGATTGTCTTCCGGTACCTCGATCAGGGAAGCCACGGCCATCAGGCGGTGGATGTGGATTTCAAACAAGAGCAGGGATTGCATTCACTGGCTTAGCCATGTGATGCTGAGCAGAACTACGTCATGATCAGTGGTCAAGGATCACCCGTTTAGCATAGACACTACTACTGCAGAAAGCAACAGGAACCTGCTTCAGTACCCTCCCTAGTTCAAGCAGTGATCAGATATCAAAGGAGCAGCATTAACAGCGTTGCGCGTAGTCACGAGAGACTGTAGGTCATTAGTCGCCAACATCAAGCTGGCACGCCACTACAAGATGTATATATATGTATATGTATATATACGTATATATATGTGTGTATGTATATATATGTATATGTATATGAATATATATGTATGTATGTATATATATGTTTGTATGTATGTATATATATGTTTGTATATATGTATATATATATGTGTATATATGTATGTATGTATATATGTATGTATGTATATATTTATATATGTGTATATATATATATATATATATATATATATATATATATATATATATATATATATATATATATAT